TAAATTTTTGTTTTATCACATTTCTACAATAATTTCCTTTTTTATAGGTGCATAGAGTAATACAATTTAATCAGTCAGCATGGCTAGCCGATTACATTAAATTAAATACGGAGATGAGGAAGAGAGCTTTGAATGATTTTGAGAAGGATTTCTTCAAGCTTATGAACAATGCAATTTTTGGTATGTATAAATTTAGTGTGATAAAGATTTTATACTAATGTTGTGCTTTACAGGAAAGACTATGGAACAGGTTCGTCGTAGGATAAAATTAGAATTGGTATCGAGTGATGATAGATTACGGAAACTTATAAATAAAACAACATTTAAACACGCAACGGCATATAACGAAAACTTGAGTGCAATAACATTGGAGAATAAAATCATAAAATTCGATAAACCTATATATACAGGCATGTATTATACGCACATTTATATTCTTAACTTAAAATTATAAAAAAAAAAAATTTTTTTCACAGGACTCGCAGTACTGGACATTAGCAAGACACTGATGTATGACTATCATTACAATGTTATGAAAAAACACTATGGCGATAAAATCGAGCTGATGTACACTGACACCGGTAAATTAATAAATTTAAAAAAAAAAATAGTGATATATCATTAATAATAATAATGTTATCGTAGATTCACTAGTGTATTTTATTGAAACCGATGATTTCTATGAAGATATGGTAAACAACCCAATTTTACTTGATCGCATGGACACGTCAAAGCTACCCCAGGACCATCCCTGTTATATTGCTGAGAAAAAAAAGATTCCGGGACTATTTTCAGATGAGACCAATGGCGATATAATGACAGAGTTTTGTGCGCTTCGCTCAAAATCTTACTCGTATAAGATTGGGATTGATTCTTCCAAAGAAGAGATTAGGGCGAAGGGTGTCAGAGGACATTTTGTCAAGAATCATATGACATTTGAAGATCACAGACGATGTTTGTTTGAAGGTATGGACTCTGTTGCGAATAGACAGCCAAATATATCTATACGATCGTTCAATCACCAATTGACAACAATTCGAACCAACAAAATTACGTACAATAACTATGACGATAAGAGGGTTGTACTTGAAGATAAAGTGCATACTCTAGCCCATGGACATTATAGTTTAGAGCAAGTTTTTAAATTATTTAAATTTTCAAATTATTATACTTATATTATTTATAATATAGGGACGCAGAKTTGGTTGAAATAATGGCAGACACTGAATTTTAGCCCTTGTGTAAATTTATAAATACTTTGTACATAAATAGTTAAAATTTGAAAAACAATTTTGTATTATACAATTGTATATATTAATCTGTAAATACTTTCTCTATATATTTTTGTTTTAATTAATTTCTATGTATGTTTACGTTTAGCTTTGTTGTAAATATCACTCAAATAATTTGTATATTATAACCATATATTATGTTAGCGTAAAAAATAAAAAGTTAAAACCATTGTTAAAATATTATTATGTTTATTACATGACAAAAAAATAAATAAAAATATTGTATATTTACAATTAAATCTTTAGGAATTATTTATAAACCATTTTCTTATAGCAAATACTTTGTAAAATGTACATTGTTTAGGATTAAAA